CTCTCCTCCAATAGCTGCATCCTTCTCGTACGCATCATGCTGTATGTGCTGTCGTTGCTGCGCGCTCCCTGCTTGAACGTGCCATGCAACGCCGCGTTCACACACTCCACGTACTTTTTCCATAAGAAATCAGGGGACTTCTTAGAATACAGCTGCTCCCAGATATCTATAGATAGGTACCTTTTTTATATGTTCGTCTTTCTTAGTGAACAGCTCTTCTCTTCTGTAGCCTTTCTGCAGGCACCTCATCAAGCACCCCCGATCTATCTTGTCATTGTCACCTGTCGGGTACCCGTGGTTGGTGACTGACATCTCCACGTGTATACCTATCGGGATGTGGTCCCTGAGCCTTCTATATGGGATCATCTGGAGTCTTTTTGCTGCCCTATACAGGCAGCTGCACTGAGAGACAAGCGGGATGGCCCCGATGGGGACAGCCACGTGATCAATATGTGACTCTTGCCCCTTGGGGCCATAGAAGGTGGGTCCATGTTCGTAGAAAGTAGTTACCACTGCCAGACCGTTCTTGTAGCAGAACTCTCTGTATGCCCTACCATTCCCGTTCTCGCAACAAAGGTTCTTTCCTCCTAGGGTCGCGCTTCTTGTCCGCTGCATGGTACCACCGTCATCTCTATGTATTCCTAGTCCACTATTCACGTCCCCTTCTATTAAAATAGCACATCTCACCCCAAGTGCGTCCAACTGCTGGTCTATCCACCTGAATACCCTTTCTGCGACCAGTGTGTGCTTCGAATCACTCATCGGGGCGAGGTAGATACAGAAGGCCACGAAGTCAACTTCATTCGTCTGAATACGAACGCCGCCCACCCGCCCTCGTATTTGCACTGGAGGTACATATTCAGTGTGCAGTGCTCGACTAGGCATCCGATTGTGTACCAGTATCGTGACCCCGCATGCGTCCGACACTAACTTTCCCTTCCTCTTCCCAAAGTGTACTCCCCAGTGTCGCGCGTGTGCATGCTGCTGCGCTCCATGGTCGGGTTGTGCAACTTGGCATGTACCAGATACCAGCACCACGTCCCACGATCCCAACTCACTGGATATATCTTCGTGCCTCTCGTGCGATGCTGACAACGGGTTGTATGTGCACACTCTCATCGTCAGTACAGCTGCCAGAAACCTCCCAACTCTTTTCAGGTATGCAGTATGCCTCCTGCAAGAGGGGGAAGTGAGGTACAGTATGCTCGCTCCTGAAAGGGAAGGTTTCCTACCTTGGAGCGGGCTGCCCGCGCGCTGTGCACGTCTGAACCGGCAGCTGGAGGAGGAGGAGGAGGAGGAGGAGGAGGAGGAGGAGGAGGAGGAGGAGGAGGAGGAGGAGGAGGAGGAGGAGGAGCCCCCAGGAGGCTGCAGGAGCGGCCCCCGCATTGCGCCAACTGCGCGAACCCGATGGCGAAGACCCAGCTCACCCGCGCGCGGGGATGCGCAGCGTGCAGGAACAGCTGGGATCGGCGCTGCTGGGCTGGGATGTGCCAGGGGGCAGCCTGCTCACGGGTGCTGTGCCTCAAAGGCGGGCGCGCTGGGAGATCCATGCCGTCGTTACCCGCACAGCCCGCCGCCGGCGTCATTGCACCCCCCGTGGACGCCCTGAGGACAGATTCCCCTCCAGGCGGCAGCCTCCTCAGCCGACTGGAAAGATTACCGCCAGTGCTCCCGTTGCGCACGCCGAAGCGGGTCCCAAATCGCATGCGCAAACGCTTTGGGAGGATCATAGTGCAGCTGATGGACCGGTGCGTCGGCCTGATGCCCCACGCGATGGATGAGGCGAATGCGGACGCAGCAGAATGATGATGCTGATGCTGATGGCAATGATGATGATGATGATGATGATGATGATGATGATGATGATGATGATGATGATGATGATGATGATGATGATGATGATGACTGATGATGATGATGATGATGATGATGATGATGATGATGATGATGATGATGCTGATGATGATGATGATGATGATGATGATGATGATGATGATGATGATGATGATGATGATGATGATGATGATGATGATGATGATGATGATGATGATGATGATGATGATGATGATGATGATGATGATGATGATGATGATGATGATGATGATGATGCTGATTGGCTGGGCTGTAGGCGGACCTGGAGCTCTGCTGGAATCGCGGCTTGAGGAAGCAGCGAGCGCGGCCAAGGGGCAGCGCAGACTACGTTAAAGCGGAACTTATACCGCTGGTTCCACGTCAGGCGCCAGCGGAGGAAGTAAGGCTCGAGTGCGAGTTTCGCCCCGGGCTCCCGTGGCGCGGAGTGCTGAGGCATCCGCCCGGTCGGCTGCTATCACAGCCTGTTCGGAGTGGCGGGGTAAAGACCAGCCTTCATGTTCTCTCGGCACTGTCTGCTCGAAAACTGAAGGTGGTGCAAGGCTCGAGGCCGAGTATGGAAATTCTTGCAGCATGGGCAATGTGTTCCTATGATGTAGTACCGCGCCTGCATCTTAACGCCGTGGGCGTGGCGTTGGTGAGCGGCCGGACCCTTCGCCCCTTTACACTGCTTACCGCACGTGGGGCAAGGGAGGAGTGGATCCTTGGGCACGAAGAGGCTGGCATCTGCCGCCTGCTTGCCTCGCAGCCGCCTCGCGGAGGAGGGAGGGCGCTCAGCTGGGTGGGGACGCGCGCTGAACTCGTGACACAGGCGCCTCCACCTTTTCGGTTGGTCGGTGATGTATTCCTTCCATGCTCCTGGAAAGGCGAATGGGTCCCCCAAGGCCGCTAAACAGTCAAAGTGAAACCGCTGAAGATGTCTCACATCAAGCAATAGATCAAACACGGACGGGGGCTTCGGAATCGCAGAAATACAATTAACCACAAGCGGAGGAGCATACATCTGCGAACAGAGGCCGGCGAGCCTACGAGCTCGGACCAACGAGTGCAACGAAGGGGCAGACAGGGCGTCACGGACAGCAGCGTCGGTGATTGTGTCGGGGGCGCCGTATCTCATGGTGCCGTTGATCCTGCGCAGGACGTGGTGGTACTGGGCCTCGAGCGGTTGCCAGCCTTTGTCCAGCTGCCCCCTCCAGGCAGCAACAGCGTAGAGGGCGCGCGAGAGGATCAAGGACTGCGCGAGCATGAGCTTCGTGTTCAGCTGGATGTGCGAGGAGCCGAAGATCGGCACCGCCAGCGGCGCGAAGGACTGCTGGGCCTAGGTGGCCTTGCGGCGTCCATCGGCTGGGTGCCCGCCAGCGTCTTGTAGTATGGTCCCAAGATGTTGGAAATGATGAACCACTTGAAGGACGTTGCCGTGCTGTGTGACGAACTCCTCCTTACCTTGACGCAGTAAGCGCTCTTGGCGGAGCGTGCGAGAGCGTGGACCGAAGAGCTTCACCATTGCTGCCGATTTGCCAGGGCCGAAATTGATGGTGAGGCCAATCCGGCGGAACTCTTCTACAATAGTACCAGGTGCTCTATCCAATTGCTGGAGGACCTGCTCGGTGCGACCTTCTTGCTGCTGCTGGAACAAGAAAACCGCGTCGTCCACGTACTCGGCGTCATTCGGCGTGTTGATAGTCTCGTGCAGGTTGGGTTTATCATCGAGGGTTGTGGCCCAAGGTACAGCGAGCACGGCCTGCGCGAGCAGCTGCAGGGCGATGCCCTCTTCGATGAAACGGCGTCTCGCGCGCCCGAGGCCCAGCTCGTAGCCGAGGTTGAAGCATGAGGCGCCCAACCTGCATCCCTGGCGGGCTCCGCGCCGAGCGAGTGCAACATCATCTCCGTCGCCCCGGACTGCAAACCACGTGCTGGTGTGCCAATCGGCCACCCGGCGCACGTCGTCTTCATGTAGGCCTGCTTGTTGGAGGAAAGGCGGGTGCTGCTGAAGGTAGGTTTGTGATTCGCGGGCAACCTCAGGAGGAACGCCAGCGCGCTGAAGATCTTCGGCGAGAGTGGGTAGGTGTAGTTGATCAACACTGTACAACTACTCGCGGATGATGGAATCGAAAGCCTTGGTAAGGTCAAGAAAAAGTATTGCCCATGACGTGCGCGTGGTAAGGTTTCTCTCCACTCACGTTTGCAGCGCAATACTGAGGAGAGTGGCATCTTTTCCTGGTGCAGAGCCGCACTGTGCATGGCCAAGAAAGTCGTGTACATGTTGGAAGAAGGGCTCGGCGATTGATACGCAGTACCACTTCGAGAGATGATCTGAAACGAGGATCCCGCGGCTGGAGTCGCAGTTCGCGGGGTCGCCTTTCTGCTTCCAGATGTCGAAAAGCTTGCCGCCCTTCATGGCCACCGGAGCCGTCGCCGCCGAGGTGGCCAAGTTGAACAGGGGCATGACTACGTCAAGCGTGCCCTCTCTCCCAGCTCGCCACACTTCAGCGCCAATACCATCTGGCCCAAGTCCCTTTTTAGGATGAACCCAGGAAAGCTGCCGCCATACGGAACTACGATCAAGTGGTTCAGAAGGTCGGTGGAGTGTTGGACGCGGGCGTTGCTGCACGTGGGCAACGACCTCGCTCGTGGGGGGAATCTGGCCGGCGAACTTCGGCGCCCAGTGGCGCTTCCACCTTGGGGAGATCTGACCAGGATCGTACAGCGAGCGGCCCTGCTCGTCGTTGACCTTCGCGTGCCTCCGTAAGCCCCGGGGCGTCCGAATCTGACGGGCGATGCCGAACAGAGCCTTGGTGTTGCCATCTCGGTCTGCGACGTCCGCCTGCCCTGCCAGGCCCTCTGCCCAGGTTTGCCTATCGGCCCGAGTTAGCGCCCTCGTGGCATTGCGGTGCGCCGACAGGGAGGCAGGGGACTGAGCCGCCCTCCTGCGGGCGGCCGCGATGGACCCACGTAGAGCGGCATTCTCGGGCGAAGCAGGACTGCGCAGATGACCTGCCCATGCTTGAAACCCTCGTTGGAGTAGGATGCGCTGTGCCTGCTGCCAGCTCCAGACTGCCAAGTTCCTGATGCCTGGGGTGTTCTTGATGAGAGCCCAGCTCGTCGAAGAGGGCTTCTTGGGCACTTGTGACGCTGGCGCGAAGAAGTGCTCGCGTTGGAGGTCCTGGACGTGCTCGACCATCTGAGCGTGGTAGACGTCGGGGCCCTGATTTACATTGTGCTGGAGCTCGTCCGCGAGGGCGAACATGTCCGTTTCGAAGGCCCGGCGTACTTTGGGGTCGTGCAGCTTCTCCGATGGCATCTTGAGGCTGGGAGCAGGCCTCGGACCCAGCGACTGGTCCAAGGTGACCGTGGCCTTGACTACCCGGCGGCCCTCCCGTTTGGAGAAGCACAGCGAATCCTGCGGGGCGCTCGTGGCGTGCAGCTTGCGGTGCCAGCGGGGGCCGAGCCAGAAATGGTCGCTGCGCTTCTCGTGGATCCCGGACCAGGTGGGCTCCATGGTGCCGCTTAACTCGGCGGCGTCCTGGAGGTCGCGCGCCAGGCGGCGCTCGAGGGCGAACTGGTAGTTGGAGTTGACGCCGGCCGCCTCGTCGTCGTCGTTGCCATCGATGAAGACGACCAGGGCGCGCATGTGCAGTGCAGCGGCCAATTCTTTCTGGACTGACGCCCAGAAGGCTCGCTTCTCTTCCGCGGGCGCTGATGCCGCCGGGGCGTGCGCCGAGATGGCTGTCAACGTGAGGCCTGCTGCAGAGAACTCTGTGCGTAGCAGACGGGGGCTGACTGCATTCGCAGCCGCCGTGCTGGCCAAGACCTTGAGGTCCTTATGAAGCCAGATATGCACTCCCCCCAACCCGTCGTCAGTGGAGGGGGCGGAGAAGGCGAAGTAATGGTCCAGATCTTGACAACCAGAATCGGGAAGACGCGACTCCTGGATGCCTGCCAACTGAATGTGATGCTTGTAAAAGAAGTCCTCAACGTAGTGCGTGCGAGCGGTGACGCCCTCGCCGATGCGGCGTAGCTGCTGGCGCTCCTTCGGATCCAGTGTCTGGACATTGAAGGTGGCAAGAATGAGCTGAGCTCCGTTGCGAGCTCTCTTGTCACAATGTCCCTGCCACCTCGAAGAAGCACTGTTGTTAACTTGGAGATCTTGATGGTGAAGCCCGAGGTCGGGAATGTAGTGGTACTGGTTCGCCTTCATGGCGAAGTTCACCCGTCGCTTTTCGCAACCACTTCGGCAAAAGACACTTGTGGGCGGGCTCATGCTGATCTCCGTGCTGCTGACGATGGTGGCGTTTCGGGATATGGCGAGTACCTCTTCTCGGGGCCCTGGCTCCGTGGGCGCGGAGGGGCCGTCTTTGCGGGGTCCGGGATCCCGCTGGAGAGGGTGAAGTAATTGGTGAAGGTCTGCTGCTTCTTCTTCTTCTTCTCCTGCGGCTGTAGGGGTTGCTTGCCCACGTGGCGGTGGGTGAGCGCGACCCCGGGGGCGCTCGTGTCCTCCCCTGGCACTGGGGGGCTCTTCGCCGAGTGGCGCCGCGGCGCGTTCATGCCGCCCGACTCCTTGGCAGCATGCTGGGCCAGGGAGGCCTCGAAGCGCAGAAGAGGGTCCCGACTGCGGGCCTCGGCGTCGGCGATGGCGTCGGGATGCGTGCCCTCGACCTTGGACAGCTGCTGGCAGGCCGCCTCCAACTGCGACTTGAGTGCGGCGAGGCCCTCCTCTTGAACGGGGGCCTCGGAGATGGCCTGCTGGAGGTCGGCGAGCTCCTGCGCCAGGCGGAGCTCCTCCTTGTCGGCGGCCTGGACGGCGGCTTCCGCGAGGCGTAGGGCCTCTCGGGCTTGCTGGGGGCGCTTCTTGGCCCTCTCGATCGCGGCCTTGCAGTGGCCCCTGCGCTGGCCCAGGGGCTTGTCCGAGATGATCGCCTGCTTGTGGCTGGTAATCTCCTGGTTGATCGAACCCCTCAGGGCCGCATGCTCGGCGCCGTGGAGGGTGGCCAACGCTGCTTCCAACTGCTTGATGGCGGTCTGGCGCTGGCTCCTGGTCATGTCGGGGGCCTCGTTCGAGGGGCTCTGGACCGATGAAGACGAAGGGACCTCCTTCTCGCCCTGCGGGGAGGCCTGCTTGAGCATCGAAGCGACCTCCGAGAGCTGTGCTGCCACCCCAGCTGATGGAGAGCTTGACGGTGGCGTTCCCGTGGAAGCCGATGCAGGGACGAACGACTTCCCCACGCCGCACACTGAGCACTTGGCCTTGGGGCACCAGTTGGTGGAATGGCAGACCTTGCGTTCCCACGTTCGAGACGACTGCTGCGGGTGCCAATGCCGGGTGCCCTTGCTCCAGGGCCCGTCGGTGTGCTGCTGCCAGCCCTCCTGAGCCCAATCTCTGCCATGTGGCGTCGTCCGGGCCTGGGAGGAAACATGAAAAGGCGGGCCTGTAGGCTTACTCTCCGGCTCAGACCGACAAAACGGCTTGAGCCAAGCTGGATACTGGGATGATGGTGATGATGATGATGATGATGATGATGATGATGATGATGATGATGATGATGATGATGATGATGATGATGATGATGATGATGATGATGATGATGATGATGATGGTGGTGATGATGATGATTCTGATAACGATAATGATGGTGACGAGGAGGAGGACGAGGAGGAGGAGGCGGAGAAGGAGGAGGAGGAGGTAGAGGAGAAGAAAGATGGGAGGAGGCGGCAGGGTCGGAGAGCAAGTAAAGCGAAGAAGAGGACCAGAAACAGTAGGAGGAGAGGAAGTGAGCAGGACGGCAGCTTGCGATAACCAACGCTGGAATCAATTCACGCCCTCCTCCTCTCCCTCCGGCGCTTCTTCCCCTCCCCCTTCTCTCCCTTTCTTTCTCTCTCTCTCTCTCTACCTCTCTCTCTCTCTCTTCCGCTTTCTCTCTCTCTCTCTCTCTTTCTTTCTCTCCGTCTCCCTCTCTGTCTCACACTCCCTCTCCCTCTCTTTCTTTTTTGTTTTTCTTATCATTGCCACTCTTGCTCTGTCTTTCTACTCCCTCCTTCCAACCGTCCCTGCCTCACCTCATCACTCCTCCTCCTCCTTCCGCCTCTCATCTTTTGCGGCACGCTATTTCAGTGTCCAAACGGAGCCCGCGCGTGCACATCGCGAGGAAGAAGGCCTCGGCATTTTTTATCTCCACCGCCATTGCCATCATCTCCTCTCCCCCTCTCGCCCCGGGTGCACACGTGAGCCCACAAGACCATTCTAGGAACATATGAGGGCAAACAGTGCAAAGAGCCCGGGGGCTGACGGGGGCGTCTGAGGAGACGAAGGAAGGCCGAGAGGAGGGGGGATGAGAGGGAGAGGAAAAGAGGCGCCCCCGACACCCTCACCCTCCCCGCATCTTCAAGTTCTCCGCTTCCTCCCACATCCTTCTCTTCCTTTTCCTCCTCCTCCTCCTCCTCCTCCTCCTCCTCCTCCTCCTCCTCCTCCTCCCCCTCATCCTCGTCCTCCTCCTCGTCCTCCTCGTCCTGCTCGTCCTCCTCGTCCTTCTCCTCTTCCTTTTCTCCTCCCCCTCCTCGTCCTCCTCCTCCTCCTCGTCCTCCGCCTCCTCCTCACCGAGCTGAGGCCTGCCCGAAGCCCTCGATCCTGCCACCGCCTTCTCCCAGCACCGCATGCCATCGTGCCGCGAGCGGGCATGGGCTGCCGGGCGGAGCGCGGGTTAGCAGCCCCCCGCCCCGGCGGCGGAGGCGGCGCTGGGGGGGAAGCTGCAAGGCCCAGGACAGGGAGGGGGACTTGTCTGCTGGTGCTCTTCTTGTCGGCGGCCCGCCAGGGGGGGCGGGAGCGAGAGGGGTCCTCCTCCTCCTCCTCCTCCTCCTCCTCCTCCTCCTCCTCCTCCTCCTCCACTTCCTCCTCCTCCTCCTCCACTTCCTCCTCCTCCTCCACCTCCTCCTCCTTCCTCCCTCCTCCCTCCTCCCTCCTCCCTAAGGGGCAGTTCTTCTCAGGAGGCGGCGGGGCTTTTCAAAAACCCACTTGATGGACACTCAGGTAATGGCGCGACGCGCCCGCGGCTGAGCCGCGGTGCTTTCCCGGAGGCCTCTGCAGGCTCGAAGGGGGGGCCTCGAAACACCGAGACACGATTCTTATACAATTCTTCGTCCTGGGAAGCCCTTGTTGCCACAGCTGCAATCCTGGTCTTCCGGGGAGCCACTCAGTTTTGTCCGCGACAGACAAAGACTGCGCTGCGTCCACCAGTGAGCGGCAGGCCAACCTTCAGAATATCAAATTTTGGGTGTTTAGACGTCACGCGCCGAGGCCCCGGCCCGCGCGCGTAGCCGGCCGCGAGGGGCGCCAGCCAACCCCGGCAGGCAAAAAGACCAGCCAGCTTCGCAGGTGAGGAGGGCATGTCCCTCCTCCTCCTCCTCCTCCTCTTCCTCCTCCCCCTCCTCCTCCTCCTCCTCCTCCTCCTCCTCCTCCTCGTCCTCGTCCTCCTCCTCGTCCTCGTCCTCCTCCTCCTCCTCCTCCTCCTCCTTCAGAGTGCAGTGCTGCACCTGGCTTCTAGGGCCCTGGGCTCCCCCGCGCTGACCCTCGAGGGCCCCGCTCCTGGCGGCTCTGCGCGCCTCGCTTCGCTTCGCTCTGTGGCTCCAGCTGGCCGGAGGCCCTCCGCACGGCTGCCGCCGCATATGCAGTGGTCGATACTACGCACAAGTGTCGTCGACGTTACAGCTCGACGGCCGTCTCGTTGTCCTCGGTCTCGCGCCATAGCGCAGCGTCGCTGTCGTGCTTTGCAGTGTAGCCGTCGACGACAACGACGAGTAGGCCCTGCGTAGTCGACGACGCCGACGACGAGGAGGACGATGACCAGGATGACGACGAGGAGGACGAGGACGAGGGCGAGGACGAGGGACGAGAAAGACGGGCGGCGGATGGCGACGGCGACGTTATCTGATGCTTTGCGGTGGAAAAAAGAAGATGGTCGGAGGCCCTCTGAGCCCCCTGAGGAGGCCCGCCCCCTCGCTTGTCTCCCCCCCCCGCCTTCGGCGCGCCGCCGATATCGGCCCTCTCCCATGGTCTGAGCAGTGATGCTCCAGGTATGGTGGGAGCGTTCGTCCATGAGTGTGCCTAGGAGGCTTCAGACCCTGGAGGATCCCTTATCCAATGAGGGTGGCGGTGATACCTATGGCCACTCCACGATCGGAGTTCCACTGGCTTCCAGACCCTGGATTCCTTATCCAGTGGCTCCTTATCCAATACCTTCACCGTATCAGACGGTTTGAACAACAGCGGCGTGTTTCACTCTATGCATCTAGGCTCTCAGGAGGCCTTCTCGGTTCTGGGGTCGTCAAGAACGGCTCAGGGTGAACAGGGTGTCCCAGGAATGGGTGAAGAGGTCCATGTCTGGAAAAGAGTCGCGCCCGGTCTCTGGGCCCGTCCGCTTCCTCGTTCTTTCTCCCTCCCCTCGTGCTCGCCAGACCCCCGACGTCGGGGTGTCTGTCGCAGCTTGCACCCCCGTGTGTCTGCCGATCCGGTTTTTTCGTTCCGAGTCGTTCGTTCTTTGACGGTCACGAGGGCCTGCAGGGGCCCCGCCCAACATCTTCCGCAGGAGGAGGAGGAGGAGGAGGAGGAGGGTTCTGGGTTGAGCGTGTGCCCCTCGTCGCTCCCGTGCGCGGCGCCACGCTGCCGCGCCCCGGCCGGCGACGGCCCGCAGCTCCCGCGGCCGTCGGGGCGCGCGCGAGCGCGGGGTCAGCGCTGGTCGCGGTCAGCCTGTGCCATGTGGCCCCCTCCGGCTGGCCCGGGCTTGGGAGCCGCGTGCCCTGAGATCTGGGCGTTCCAGCTTCTCCACGCCAGGCTCTGTCGCCGATTCTCTGGCCCTGGGACCCTCACAGATCGATCCGGCTCGGCGAATGCCGCAGGACGGTGGGGTCCAGGGCTCTGGCCGTGATCTTCTGCGATGCTGCAATCCTTTCGCGCCGTCGGATCTCAGGGTGGAGCTGGCTCCTCCTCTCTGCGAGAAAGAAAGTACAGTGGAGACCCATGCCAAGAAACACCTTGCTCGCCTCCAGGGTTTCCTGGGTCTCTTGAGTTTCTGTGGTTTCGCGATGGAACGGGTGACGGGTCTCAAGGTTGGGCTTCTTGTGGAAGGTTTCTTGTGGACTGGCCTCCGCTGTACGAGCTGCGTAAGCATAAGCTCTCGGAGGCCCGCGCTGACTTCTGGGATCGGCGCTGCGCCCTCCGCTCTCTCTCGGTGCCCCGCCCGCGCCGATTTTCTCAGGCAGCGGCCTCCTGGCTCCCGCGCGTGGTCGAAGCCCAGACCTGCGACGTCCCGACACTTCTCAACACGCGCTCCCCGGAAGTCCCGACCCCAGATATGATCGCGTCGTAACCAAAATCACGACGGGACATTTTTCGTTATTTTCGACCCTGGGGGGCCCTCGCCGGGCCCCGGGACCGTCAAGAAACGACTCAGGACGAACAGCCGGCCCCGGGGAAAGGGTCTGGACTTCCGGGCACGCAGAATTGAAAAAATCAGGGCGTCGCATGTCTGGGACCCTTTCCCCGGGGCCAGTGTTTCACATCCTGGGTCGTTTTTTGACGGAAGGCCTGAGGCCCGGCAAGGGGCCCGAGGGGCCGAAAGCGGCGGAAAACATCCCGTCCTGATTTTCTCACGACGCCAGCATGTCTGGGAAACGCCTGGGCCGACGGGCCGATTTCGGGGGGTCTTCCGCGTCCTGGGCCATGCGGTGGCCGAAGTCGGAGCCTTCCGCCGGCTGGCCGCACCCGCCCAGCGTCCGACCCGCGGGGCCCACGCGACGACGACGACGGCGACGACGACGACGACGACGACGACGACGACGACGACGACGACGACGGCAGCGGCGGCGGCCTGGGGAAGAGTATCGCTACCTTCCCGTCGGACGCTGGCCGCGCTCCGACCGAACGAAACACTCGGCGGCGGTTGCGGCGGCGGAGGTGGCGGCGGCGGCGGCGGCGGCTCCGTCGACGACGACGACCACAACCACGACGACGACGACGACGGAGGCGGCGGCGGCGGTGGCGGCGGCGGTTGCGGCTTCGACAACGACGAAGATGGCGACGATGGCGACGACCACGACGACGACGACGATGACGACGACGACGACGACGACAACCACGACGGCGACGGCGACGGCGACGGCGACGGCGGCGGTGGCGGCGGCGACGACGACGGCGGTTACGGCGGCGGCGGCGGCGATGGTGACGGCGGCGACGACGCCGACGACCACGAGGACGACGACGGCGGCAGCGGTGGCGGTGTCGGCGGCAGCAGTTCTGGCGGCGGCCGCGGCGGCGGCGGCGGCGGTGTCGACGACGACGACGACGACGACGACGACGACGACGACGACGACGACGACGACGACGACGACGACGACGACGACGACGACGACGACGACGACGACGACGACTGCGATGAGGATGTTCCTGTTTCGCAGACAGTGGGGGGCCAGGCCAGGACTCTTCGGCCAGGCCTGCCCCAGCCAGCGGCCGTATGTTTCGCTAGTCCGACGGGGAGGTAGCGATACTCTTCCCCAGACCGCCCCTGCCGTCGTCGTCGTCGTCGTCGTCGTCGTCGTCGTCGTCGCGTGGGCCCCGCGGGTCGGACGCTGGGCGGGTGCGGCCAGCCAGCGGAAAGCTCCGACTTCGGCCACCGCATGGCCCAGGACGCGGAAGACCCCCCGAAATCGGCCCGTCGGCCCAGGCGTTTCCCAGACATGCTGGCGTCGTGAGAAAATCAGGACGGGATGTTTTCCGCCGCTTTCGGCCCCTCGGGCCCCTTGCCGGGCCTCAGGCCTTCCGTCAAAAAACGACCCAGGATGTGAAACACTGGCCCCGGGGAAAGCGTCGGGATTTCTGGAGACCGCGTGTTGAAAAATATCAGGACGTCGCAGGTCTGGGTCCCGAGCAGCTTGGTCGCGCGTCTCTATCGCCAGTTGCCTCCCTCTTCCGCCCTCCCCCATGCTCCTCTCCTTTCTCCTTCCTTCGCCGCTCCCCCGTCCACCCTTCCTTCCCCCCTTCCCTTCCCTCCCGCCTTCCTGTCCTTCCCCGTCCCCCGTGCCCTCGAGGACGTGACCGCTGGGCAGAGCCGCACCTCCTGGATCGCGCAAGGCGTGAGGCTACGAGAACCGCGGGAGGAGATGTCGTGCGGCGGGCTCAGGCAGCCAGCATCGGATCCTTCGGACTCCCAGCCGTCGGCCGTCGATCCGACCGGCTGCCGAAGGACTTGCCGGCATTCCAGACCCTGCGTGATATATACGCAGGAAGAGGGAAGCTTGGACGAGGGAGGGGAGGAAGGACAACGCGACAACGGGCAGGAGGTCGGAGCAGGGGAGTGGAGGGGAGTGGAGGGGAGGCCGGAACAGGGGAGGGGCAGGAGGTCGGGACGCGGAGGCCGCACGAGGCCATGCGTTTTCTTTGCCACCGGACGCGGGCAACCGCCGAATAGCTCAGCACCGATTCCCGCACTGGTTTCCTGCCTACCCGTCCCGACCCCCACACGAACTGCCAGGAAGCTGGAGGAGGAGGAGGAGGAGGAGGAGGAGGAGGAGGAGGAGGAGGAGGAGGAGGAGGAGGAGGAGGAGGAGGAGGACGACAACGAGGAGGGGAACGAGAGGCCGCGGCCAGGAAGCTGGATACACACGGCTGGGCCCAGCGGCAGCGCGGCTCGGCGCCCCGGGCGCCACCTCGAGCCCCGACGCTGGGAGGAGGAACGCCCCGGGCGACGGCTTGAGCCATAGGCCCAAAACAGACGCCCAATCCCAAAAACGCGAGGGCCAAGACAGAACGCAGGCTACTCGAGATTTCGGGGAGGGAGATTTTGGGGCTTAGGGATTTACCAGGGTGACAACGACGAACGCAAAACATACCCCGAAATCTTTGGCCGATCTTCGAATCCCCTGTGAATCCGCGATTTTGGGGTTGGGGATGTGTTTTTCTTGCTCATTGAGCCACAGGCCGCGGGGAGTCGGACACACGTGTGGCCACATGCGTTCCCGGTGCTCGGCGCCCTTCTAAGGCCAGGCACGCTGGGCTTCCGCGTGTGTCGATGCCTGGCGCCCGGCCCCAAGCTGCCTCGCATCCGACTCCAGCCGTGTGTGCTGCTGCCTTCCTGGTCGGAATCTCCCCGCCAGTCGTAAAACGAATGCCTGGTATCCGCTGACCTGTTTTTTCAATCCGCGGCCTCAGAGGTCTCGATCGTTCTCCCCGGGATAGTGATCCGTCCCGGATCCATGTCTGATGGCCCCAGGGCACGACAACGGCCCCCGAGGGCCGAAACCGAGGCAAAGACGCTGGCTGAGGCAGCCACATCGTTGGAGATCTGGGGTCGCCAATTGCATCTCCAACTGGTCCTCCCGACGGTACAGCCGCCATGCAACCGTGAATCGTCCCGCCGTCACCGCGCCCCGCTGTTCGAGGAGGAGGAGGAGGAGGAGGAGGAGGAGGAGGAGGAGGAGGAGGAGGAGGAGGAGGAAGAGGAGGAGGAGGAGGAGAGGAGGAGAGGAGGAGGAAGGAGGAGGGAGGAAGAGGGGAGGAAGGAGGATGAGAGGAGGAAGGAGGAGGAGGAGGATGAGGGGAGGATGAGGAGGAGGAGGAGGAAGGGAGGAGAGGAGGAGGAGGAGAGGAGGAGGAGAGGAGGAGGAGGAGGAGGAGGAGGAGCAGGGTTGAGAGCAGGAAGGAGGAGGAGGGGAGGAGGAGGAGGGAGGAGGAGGAGGAGAGGGAGAGGAGGAGGGGGGGAGGAGAGGAGGAGGAGGAGGAGAGGAGGAGGAGGAGGAGGAGGAGGAGGAGGAGGAGGAGGAGAGGAGGAGGGGAGAGGAGGAGGAGGAGGAGGAGGTGAGGAGCAGGAGGAGGAGGGGAGGAAGGAGGAGGAGGATGGAGGAGGAGGGGGGAGGGGTGGGAGGGAATAGGTGTGGAGGAGGAGGAGGAGGGGGAGGAGGAGGAGAGGAGGAGGAGGAGGAGAGAGGAGGAGAGGAGGAGGGGAGGAGGAGGAGAAGGAGGAGGTTGGAGGACAGGAGGAGGAGAGGAGGAGGAGAGGAGGAGGGAGGAGGAGGAGGAGGGAGGAGGAGGGAGGGAGGGAAAGGAAGGATGGAGGGAAGGGGGGAGGAGGAGGAAGGAGGAGGAGGAGGGTAGAGGAGGAGGAGGAGGAAGGAGGAGGAGGATGAGGAGTAGGAGGAGGAGGGGGGAGGAGGAGGAGCAGGGGAGGAGGAGGAGGAGGAGGTGAGGAGGAGGAGGAGGAGGAGGTTGAGGAGCAGGAGGAGGAGGAGGAGGAAGACAAAACAGAACAACCGTACACTTTCGGAGCTCGGCGCGGGTCCCCCCTGGGTGGCCCCTGGAGGCGCGGCCCCTGCCGTGCTCCGCGCGCCAGGGAGGGGTACCCAGAACCTGCGCGGAGCTCCAACAATTTCTGTTTATGCCGTTCTCTCCATATCTCCTCCTCCTTCTCCTTCTCCTCCTCCCCTCCGCCTCCTCCTTCTCCTCCTCCTCTTCCTCCTCCTCCTCCTCCTCCTCTCCCTTCCTCCTACCTCTTTCCTCCTCCTCCTCCTCCTCCTCCCCCCCTCCTCCCCTCCCCCTCCTCCCTTTCCATCCCCCTCCTCCTCCCATCCTCCTCCTCCTCCTCCTCCTCCTCCTTCTCCTCCCCTCCTCCTCCTCCTCCTCCTCCTCCTCCTCCTCCTCCTCCTCCTCCTCCTCTCTTCCTCCGGCAGTGGCCGCCCTTCGCAGCAACCAGCTCGCTGTGGCTGCGGCGCGCTTTCGAGACAGCCCAGGAGGATGGCATCAGGATGGCCCACGGTGGCCCCAAGACCATCTCCAAGAGTCTTGGCATCGCTCGGATTTTTCCCTACCTAGGCTCTGCCTAGAAGGGTGCTTACTCGCTAAACTTAAAGGGCCGGGCAGTGGAACACGCCCCGGGCGGTTCCCCCGGCATCCGCCCCGCGGTTCCCCCAAGATCCTGGGAGCTTTAGCTTAGCTTTAGCTTAGCTTTAGCTTGTCTTCAGCTTAGCTTTAGCTTAGCTTGTGCTTAGCTTTAACTTAGCTTTAGCTTAGATTTAGCTTAGCTTTAGCTTAACTTTAGCTCAGCTTTACCTTAACTTTACCTCAGCTTTACCTTAGCTTTAGATTAGCTTTAGCTTATCTTTAGCTTAACTTTAGCTTAACTTTAGCTTAACTGTAGCTTAGCTTTAGCTTAGCTTTAGCTTAGCTTTAGCTTAGCTGTAGCTTAGCTGTAGCTTAGCTTTCGCTCAGCTTTAGCTTAGCTTTGGCTTAACTTTAGCTTAGCTTTACTGTTACTACTAATGCTGCTTTCCTAGGGGCTCCAACTCCTAGGTAGGGTCGCACTGGGATACTTGTTTTTCTGTTTTTTGTTTTTTCCTCGGCGAGGCCGAGGCCCAGCGAGGTCCTTGTGAGTTTTTTCTTGCCTGCGCGAAACGAAAAATGCACGGGGAATGGACGTCCGAGCGATGGCCAGGAGGGCCCAAGACGGTCCGAGATGGCTGCCAAGACGGCTCAAGAGGGCCCCAAGGAGGCCCCGAAAGGGCCCGAGACCGTTCCAAGACGACCCACGAGGCTCCCAGGAGACCCTAAGAGGCAGAAGTGATCCCACATTTTTTTTTACCGTGCGGGCGTTTTCCGTCCTGTGCCAAGTATCGTCCACGCGCAGAGGGGGGTAGGGGGAGAGGGGAAGGCTTATTAGAAGCACCCCTGCTTCTTACAAGGCGCGGGCCTTGTCTGAAGATGTAAGGCCGGCGCCTTCTAAGAAGCAGCCTCCTTGTAAGAAGCCTCCCCCCCCCTCCCCCTACCCCCATGTGCGCGCCGCTAAAATTGCAGGTGACGGAGAGAGCGAGGTACGAGTGATGACGTTCCAGGTGGGGCGAAGCCCTACAGGGACGGGTTCCAGGGTGGTGGTGGTGGTGGTGGCCGCGGGCACAGCCTCTTTAGCGGCACCTCCCATTCGGGGATGGCTGGGGGACAGCTCACCACCCGTCGCGGGGGTCTAGTACCGCAGCGCCACGGCGCCACTCGGTCCGAGAGACTCCCAGGGGATGCCCCCCCCCCTAGAGTACCCTCCTCGCCCCACCTCGTCCACAGGAAGGCCCAGCGCTACCAGACCCCAAGTCACTGGGGAGCGGGCGTTTCCAGAACTGGGGGCGCCGCCTCTGGGGCCCCGACCCAGGGCGAGGGAGACACGTAAAACGACGCGAAGATCGGGACAAAATCGGATCGGGACAACTCGAAATCTCTGAGAATCGGCGGGTTTGGAGGATGTGTTGGGCGCCGCGGCCGCTCCAGAGTGTCCTGGAACGCTCTGAGAGCGCTTTGGAACGCTCTGGAGCGATTTATCCCTATCCTAGCCCTGTTTTGTGCTTGTTTTTCTTTGGATTCGGGCAAGTTTACTTGCATGGACGGGGGGGGGGGCTGAGTCTGAAGCAAGCCGAAAACAATTCGACGTGCGGAAATCACGCAAGTCGAAAGGCACTTGCACGCTCGTGTTCGATTGAAGAGGGGCGAGGGGGGGGGGGGGGCGAACGCCATGCAAGTAAACTTGCCTGAATCCACAAACAAACAGGCTCTTCATGACACGGGATCCTTCATACATGGGGAGGCCCCAGTGGCCTCCGTGCCTGCGGCACCCAGGGTACACCAGGGCCCCCCCCCTCTCGGCCCCTTGGGCCTTCCCCACAGCGGGCTTGCATGTAGCAAGGAACGTCACTCTCGCAGGGCGGACACTCCTCCTCCGATCCTCCTCTCCTGACCCTCCTCCTCCTCCTCCTCCTCCTCCTCCTCCTCCTCCTCCTCCCTCCTCCTCCTCCTCCTGCTCCTCCTCCTCCTCCTCCTCCTCCTTCTCCTCTTCCTCCTGCTACTGCTGCTGCTGCTGCTGCTGCTGCTCTTCCGCCCCAGACATCCGGCGCTCACAATGTCTTGACACACGGGCCCCCGGAGGTCTGCATTGCTTCCCCAGGGCTGGCGTATTCGGTCCGGGTCGTTTTTCGACGACCCTGGGTCCCGGCGAGGGCCCCCAGGGGCCGAACACGGCTTCTTGCTGGGCGTCGCAGAGATGGCGTGCGGCATGGCGCCGCAGGCCCGCAGATTGCATGCTACCCCCCACCTTGGGGAGAGGAACAAACACACAGACACAATTAATCCTCGATCCCTCAGAAAATATGGGCAAATATGGGAATGGGGGGAAAGACAGACACTAGATAATATGGGAAATATGGGACATTATTTTTTATTTGTGTGTATTTATTTGTGTGTCCTGGGGCCCCTTCAAGTTGTTCCCTCCCTTCTTCGAAGGCCAAAACAGCAGGTTCCAATAACTTTGCTTGACATCTTCTGGCAACTTTGGTGTGTACGAAGGAGTCCCAGAGGAAACAGGGATGTCGTTCGTGACAGCGTCGGCCTGCCCCGTGTGGTTGGTTGTGGCAGGTCCTGAAGAGGATGGCCAACCACACGCTGAAACGCTGAGGGCCAACTGGACCAGGGGTGCCCGAATAGTTGGGCATACTCAGTCCGAGACCAAAGGAGGATCCCAAGACCAAGATAGTGCCGATTATATTGCACTTGTGTTGACATGTAGTTGCTTTAAGAATCCTTCCATTCAGAGTTGACATGATGTTGCACCTGTTGTGATATGACAGGCAAATAACGGGTTATCAGCCGAAGCTCTCCAGGAGCTCGTCTTCGGCGGCGCAGCCTTTTTCCATCAGTCAGACAGATTCCAGCATGCCTGCGCGTGTTGCAGAGAGATTCCGGCATGCCTGCTGTGAAGTCGGCTCCGCCGTCCTGTGCTCCAGTCAGTGCTCTGGTCACGGGGGCGGGGGGTCAGACATTCAAGAAAAACGGGGGCACTTGTGGCCAGTCCGCCAGGTGCCGACAGTGTCACGAAAGAGGGGGCAGTTGTTCCCTCCCTTCTTCGAAGGCCAAAACAGCAGGTTTCAATAACTTTGCTTGACATCTTCTGGCAACTTTGGTGTGTACGAAGGAGTCCCAGAGGAAACAGGGATGTCGTTCGTGACAGCGTCGGCCTGCCCCGTGTGGTTGGTTGTGGCAGGTCCTGAGGAGGATGGCCAACCACACGCTGATTCGCTGAGGGCCAACTGGACCAGGGGTGCCCGAATAGTTGGGCATACTCAGTCCGAGACCAAAGGAGGATCCCAAGACCAATATAATGCCGATTATATTGCACTTGTGTTGACATGTAATTTGCCTTTTAAGAATCCGTCCATTCAGAGTTGACATGATGTTGCACTTGTTACGATTTGTTTGGCAAAATAACTCTTCAACCTTGTTGACAGCTTGCACCGGGAAAGCCTGGACAGGGGGATAGCCTGCCCCGACACGTGCGCAGGAAGGGCCTTCGTGTGGGATCGCGCCAAACTGATAGCGTATCTTCCAGATGTCGATGTGCACGCTTATCTTTTGCGGCGCCAGCCGTCAAACTTCGGGGGCGGCAGGCAGGGGTCGATGGCTAGGGAGGGGTGCTAGGGAGGGTGGATATCCTGGCGGGGCCATCTATTTCCCAAGATTTCAATGCCGCTTTTTGTCTCTTGTACGCGTCCCTGGCCCCCCCTTTGGCCGCGCACGTGCCGCGGGCCATGATTTGCGCCCCCCCCCCCCCCCCTCTTTGACGCTCCCCTCTTGGCCGCCCCCCAAAACTGGCCGCTCCAAGCTTTTGCGGAGCCTGGGATCTCTGGGCCTCTCCAGGTTTCTGGGTCATCTTTCGGCTCTCCTGCGGCCCTTCGCGGACGATCCAGGCACCCCCATCACGCTCCCGGCGAGGCGCAGCTGCTGGAGAGCACCCCGAGGCTGGAACACAGCGGGGAACCAACGAAAGTATCCGAGAACCTCGAACCTCGAACATCGGAGCTCTGGGTACAGATTCTTGGCGGCGCGCGCAGTTGGATAGGGGGAGGGGGCAAGGCTTCTCAGCAACACTCCTGCTTCTTAGAGGGCGCGGGCCTTGTCTGTAGATGTGGGGCCCGCGCCTGCTAGGAAGCAGTCTCTTCCTAAGAAGCCTCCCCCCCTTCCCTCTACGTACCCCACTGTGCGCGGCGCCAAGATTCTCTTGGCCCTCTCCGAGCGACGACGACGTCGACGACGACGACGACGACGACGACGACGCGAGGGCCCTGCCGCCCCGAGGCCGCGAGGGCTGCCTCGCCGCCCTTTCGCGGGGCGGCCCCAGCCGCGCGGCACTGCGGCCCCGGCCGCTCCGCGGGGCCTCGTCCGAGGACCGCCCGGGGGCCCGGAGGCGAGGACGACGACGGGGAAAACGACGACGGGGAGGACGACGAGGGAGAAGAAGACCACGAGGAGGAGGAGGAGGAGGAGGAGGAGGAGGAGGAGGAGGAGGAGGAGGAGGAGGAGGAGGAGGAGGAGGAGGAGAGGAGGGAGAGGAGGAGGAGGAGGAGGAGAGGAGGAGGAGGAAGGAGGAGGAGGAGGAGGAGGAGTGGAGAGGAGGAGGAGGAGGAGGTGGAGGAGGAGGAGGAGGAGGAGGAGGTGGAGGATGAGGGGGGCTGGACGGAGCAGCTAGACCGAGCTTTCTTCGGCTGCCTCGAGCAGCTTGCCGGCGGACCCTTGGACGCCCCGCAGCGTCTCCAAGCCACGCTGCGCCTCGCCGACGGCGGTTGCGCTTTCCCTTCGGCTACCCTAGCGGCGCCCGCCGCGTACGCCGCCAGCTGGACCTTCTTGCTCCTCGGCGTCATGAGGTGCCTCTGGGCCAACTCTCTCGCCGTGCCCGCGGACGCAACGGACGCTCGACCAGGCAGAGGCGACGCTCCAGGCTGCAGGCGTTCTGCAGGCGCCCTTTGACTGGATCGGTTGCACTGCAGGCCCGCAACCGAAGCTACAGGGACACCGGGCTAATGCTGCTTCCGCGGCCAACCGGGAGAAATTGCAGCAGACGCTCGACGAGGGCCACCGCCTCCGCTTGCGAGAGAAAGGAGGCGCCTGAGCAGGCAGCTGGCCCCTCCCGCGCCAGCCGGGCGACCCCTGCCAGCCAGACGTGCGCTTCATTGGCAACCTCAAGCGGCGGCTCTGCGTCCCGGTCTGCCCGCCCGGCTCCCTCTGCCCGCACCGCCGCGAGGATGGAAGTCTCTGCAACGAGGCTCTCGGCCTGCACGGCTGGCACGCAATCAAATGCGATGTGGGCGCGTCGCGCCACCAGCTCCACACCAATTGCTGCGACTGGCACCCCGTGAAACACAAAAAGCTCACAGGTTTCGCGGCGCCCACGGAGCAGGCCGTTCCTGCCTGGGATCGCCGCCCCCCCGAATTTGGGAGCTGCAGCAAGCCGTCCTCGACCTCTCTCCACTAACGAGCCGGCCAACGGGCGCCACGTCTACGTCGACTGGGCAACCACCTGGCGTACATTCAACCCACGTTCTACGCAGGGGTGTCCAGGCAGACAAAGACGGCTTGGCGGCCGCCCAGATTGTGGAAAAGAAAGGAGAGCGGTACCCCCCACCCGGGGGCGAGCTGGTCCCTCTCGTCTTCGAGAGGGGGCTAGCCCAGCGACGAAGCCGCCAGCTTCGTCCGCAGCTACGGAGCCGACCTAGACAACGGCGGGCGCTCCGAGCTGCTGGGCAGCCTCTGGCGGCAGATCAGCAGAACACTCCAAAGGGGAAATGCCGAGATGCTGATGAGCGCACTCGGGCGCTAGGCGAGCAGCCCCCCGCCCCCGCTTGGTCCACCGCAGCCGCCGCCAGCACAGTGGCCACCACAGGCGTCCGCGAGCACAACAGCGAACCCAGACCACCACGCCCGCCGCCAGCACGACAGCCTCTGCCGCCACCAAGACCACCACGACGACGACTCGGAACGCGACGGCCAGCGCTGGCACGTTCACTACTGCGACCACCGCCGACCGGCACCACGACCACGACCACGGCCAGCACGACGGGGCCATGACCACCGCCACTGCCACTGCCACCGCCGACCCGACCGCCCCTGCCCCCAGCCGCCCCTTCCTTTTTCCTTTCTCTGCCCCTGCCAGGCCGCCCTTGCTGCCGCGCGTGCCTAGCGCTTAGCCTCCGCCTTCTTCATCGCCCCTCCCTTGCCTCCTCTGCATTTCTCCTTGCCGAATTCAGTGAATTATTACAACTTCGTTTTTGAGGCGGACATCCACGGGGCCAGTTCTCCAAGAGGCTGTGCCCGGCAGGTGGCGTTTTTATGGCCAAGGGCCCAGGGCCATAACCCTGGCGCAAGGGGGCCCCCTTGGTGACGGGGGTGGGGACCCACTCGGGTGCCCCCATGCCTTTAGGTGGAAGGAGGAGGAGGAGGAGGAGGAGGAGGAGGAGGAGGAGGAGGAGGAGGAGGAGAGGAGGAGGAGGAGGAGGAGAGGAGGAGGAGGAGGAGGAGGAGGAGGAGGAGGAGGAGGGAGGAGGAGGAGGAGGAGGAGGGGAAGGAGGAGGAGGAGGAGGAGGAAGAGGAGAGGAGGAGGAGGAGAGGAGGCGGAGGCGGAGGAGGAGGAGGAGGAGTAGGAGTAGAGGAGGAGGAGGAGGAGGAGGAGGAGGAGGAGGCGGAGGAGGAGGAGGAGGGAGAGGAGGAGAGGAGGAGGAGGAGGAGGAGGAGGAGGAGGAGGAGGAAGAAGAGGAGGAGGAGGAGGAGGAGGAGGAGGAGGAGGAGGAGCAGAAGGAGGGAGGAGGAGGAGGAGGTGGAGGAGGAGGAGGAGGATTAGGAAAAGGCGGAGGAAGGAGGAGAAGGAGGAGGAGGAGGAGGAGGAGGAGGAGGAGGAGGAGGAGGATGAGGAGGAGGAGGAGGAATATGAATATGAATCGCAACATGACGATTCCAACAAGACAGCACTACCCCCCCCGATGCTTCGCTGCGCAGCCCGTTTAGCTGCGCTTGAAGGCTTGCGGAACGCTCCTCGATGAAAGCGGCCGAGATACGCCTGCTTGGTATCATTGAGGGATTCGGCACCAAAGCACTCCTGCCTGAGCCCAACTTGCAGGTTAGCCGAGAAGAAAAACCCGCAGGCCCCACGCATCCAGACCCTGAGTGACTGATGGAATATCATACGATGAGATTCATGAGCCCACCCCCCCAGCTAGGTGCAACTTCCTTCTTGGAACCTTGGAGATGACTGAGTCAACATGTTCTAACGGCGCACAAGGAGAAGCTAGCCACTCTTGGATGGTGGGTTTCGTGGCACTGCTATGGCAGGTGGTGCACTTACAGCCGCAACCGTTCAGCGTGTGAGGCGTCTGAAACCTGGCAATATTCGCTGGGGAAGGCGGCGGCGGAGCCTGGGCAGCCAGAGTCGGGCTCGGCTATCTTCGTTGCCTCGTGCTTAGCAAAAGTGGCCTCCAGAGTCGCCTTGAGGAGTCTCCGCCTGGTCAGGGCCGCACGCCCTTCAACTCCCGCGATCCTACTACGAACACAAGCTGGCAACCTACACCTTTCAGCCGCACCGCAGGCGATGGCGTCAGCCACTTCGTTTCCACGGGTAGGCCACCATGAAAATGCCTGCCACAAACGTCTTTGGCCTCCAAGTGAGATGGTACTTGCAAGACAACGATCCCGCTGGGGTCTCTGAGCTTAACCAAAACCCCGACCACAGCCCACAAACTGTTCTACTCACTCTTGTCAGCGCATAGATACTGCCGTGCATACCAGCCCCGCTCGACGTTCTCAGTATCTGAAATGAAAACTGTCGGCTCAGCGGATCATCCGATGGCGAGCTCGAGACGCGGCAGTTCGCCCCTCGGAACCGATTGCGTTCGCCCTGTGCGGGGTCCTGCGATATTGGGCCCGATGGTCATGACCACACCTCCCAAGCCAACTCCTCCCAAGGACGTGAATCGACTGTCTGGCCCCCCCGACGCGTCTCCGAAGATGAGCGGGGGCTAGTTCGGGGTCCCGTCTCCTAGGCAACCTGTCCCGACCTCAGAACTCAACAAATCCACCCCGACCCTTTTGTTTCTGCATGGATGGCGATGGAGTGGTTGTCATATGTCGTGGAATGATTCCGCGATACTATAAACAACTGTCACTGTTCCCATGCGCCAGTGCTGCAGGGACAAGCGCGTCATAATCATAATATGCCTGGGCATTCGTGTTGGCACTACAGATCCACCCCCGGTGCTTCATATCTCCTGGAGCCTGCTTGCACCTGAGACAAATGTTGGACTTGCTCGAGCCAACCTCGTGCTTCCTCGAACGTGCCCGACATCCGCCCGTGGCGATCGTCAGCGTCGGTTCAGCCAACTGATTCCCATGGCGACCCGCACGAGGACGGGATAACAACCTCGTCAAAGACTCATTGTCAGCGCCGTACTCCAGCCCAGCGCCATGGTGAAGCTTGGCAGCTGCACGCCGCTGCTGGGGGTCAAGACTCTGCCCAACATCAAAAGGACAACCAGCCGTGTCAACATGCTGCTGATCAGTGGCGCTGTCTGGGACAGTCCAATCAACTGGCTTCAAGCCGCATGCTCGTCGGGCCTGCGCCAATGCGACGGCGATATCGGGTCCCAGCCAGCATTCGCCAGGCGGGTAATCACCGCCGAGATCGGCCCATGAATTTATCGACTGCGCTCATGCAAACCAGGGCTCCGAACTTCCTGGGCCAAATCGGTCCAGACCCTGCGGGCCCCCGCGCGCATGTGAGTATCGTCGGTCCACGTTCGCAACCATTCATGAAGACATAACTTCGGTAACCTCACTCCAGGATCCTGCTGCGGGGCCCGCGCATCAGGGAGCGTCTTGAGGCGTCGCCCTTGCTGATGCGCCCCCGACGCGGACCCGAGCTGCCGCCGTAGTTGTTGCAGCCGCAAGCCGAACGTGCCGTGGGCGTGGTGGGCATATGTGGCGGCAGCCTGCGGTCCTGCGGTCTCGATCTTCCTCGTCGCTTCGTAACTTTTGGACGCGCGAGTGTGCCTCCTCAACTTCTCATCGCCCGCCGTGGCCTTCTGAGTGCGTTGCCGCCGAGAAGCGCGAGCCACGCGTCGCCCGCCTCCCAGGTCAACTCCCAGATAGCCCACCTGCGACGCAGCTTGAACGTCAACGCCACGCCTCTCCTAACACGTGTGATGTGCTTTGCTGTCGCTCATGCTGTCGCATGAGATAACGCTCTGGGGGGCCAACTTGAGCCGTGCCTGCTGCGCCTTATCGCGAGTGCTTGTGGCACCTGTGGTCGCAGCCTTTCGTTCGGCATCGCGTGGGCCCACGCGCCCGACGTGCAGATCATCCGCCCAGATTCGCTGCGAAGCCGCCACCTGAGATGTACGCA